GCGGTTCCTTCTCAGTTACACAGTATCATGACCCAAATCTTTAGCACCTGAACTATATAGCTGAGAACCTTGAAACCTATAGGGCCAGGGCACGCTGTGGAGACCAGCCAGTCAGTGGACATCAGGTCATGGGGAAATCATAACCACTTGGGGTTGCTTCACCAGAAGAAGTGAGTTACTGAGAAACAGCCATTTTCGGTTTTAGTCAGCCATTTTTAACAGGATCTTGTTTGTTTTAGAATCCCCTGTAGTGCCTAGCTCAGGGTCCATCCAAAAAAGCTCAGTAAATGTTGGTTTTGAATTTAAATCGATGTTGGGGTGTCCCCATCTAGCCCCTTCACTAGACACATGGGAAGCGGAGGCCCTGGCCCTCTTTCATGCCACAGCCTGTGAGATGCTGCCTTCTCAGCAAAAGGCTTCAGGAGGCATTTTGAAAAGGGAATTTATCGTTTTCATTCTGGTTAGATAGGTAATAAATGAATATTTTAAATTGGGAAAGTATTAAAAATTGTTTTTTAAAAATGGAATCACCTATAATTCCATTACTCAGGGACAACTATCACTGACATTTTTCTGTTTTTTCAGTCTTAATCTCTCTGTTTCCCTCCAGATTTCTCAGAGAATAGAGGATTAGGGAAGGGAGGAGTGGGTGCCTCATGTTCTTTCTAATCCTTTAGCTTCAGGGACATGTAAATACATATAACACACATATATGTGTATATATATTATATAATTGGCATATATATTATTGGGATATATATTGCTAGGATATACGTACATAATTATGTAATGTACACACACTTATATTTGACCTGTACCAGTTCATTATTACCGCAATAATGCTATATAACACTCCTTCAAATTCAGTGGCTTAAACCCAAAGTCATTTATTCTTACCCACACTTCTGTGAGTAGGCTGGGTGTTTGCTGATCTAAGCTGGGCTTAGCTGAGTGGCTGTAATTTCAGGTGCATCTGAACTATATAGCTGAGAGGCCTGAAACTGATTGGGCCAGGGCATGCTGCACCTGTCCGTGGGTTGGCCTCAGGTCTATTCCATGTGTGTTCTTTCTGAGGTCCAGGCTGAAGGGGCAGCAGCTGCCCTTCTCTTGGCATGGGAAGGGGTGCCAGAGGACAAGCCTAACTGGGCAAGCACTTTTCAAGTGCCTGCTTGTATCTTATCTGCTCACATCCCATTAGCTAAAACAGGTCACATGGCTGCCACCAGTGTCAAGGGACTGGGAAGTATATCCCATCCACCATGAACCTAAAGCAAATCACATGGTCAAGATCGGCACCAGTGGCTTGGGGGAGCATATACTCTTCCCATGGAAGTAAGGGAGGAAGGAAGGGAATATTTTTGAGAATAATGTAAACTTTTTTTTTTTTGAGATAGAGTCTCCCTCTGTTGCCCAGGCTAAAGTACAGTCATGCAGTCTCTGCTCACTGCAACCTCTGCCTTCTGGGTTCAAGCGATTCTCTTGCCTCAGCCTCCAGAGTAGTCAGAATTACAGGTGTGCACCACCATGCCCAGTTAATTTTTGTATTTTTAGTAGAAACGGGCTTTCACCATGTTGGCTAGGCTGGTCTCGAACCCCTAACCTCAGGTATCCACCTGCCTTGGCCTCCCAAAATGCTAGGATTACAAGCATGAGCCATCACAACCAGCCCAAGAATAATATAATCTACTGAACACCCTAAGTGTCTGCTAAAGTACTCTGTTCTTTGAGATTTAAATCAAATCTGCTCAGGCCAGGTATGGTGGCCCATGCCTATAGTCACACTTCAAATGAATGAATGAATTAATTAATTAATTAATGAAATCAGCTCAGAGTCCACTTGGCCTGTAGTGTCATCCAGTCTACATAGGGAACCTCTAGTCCAAAGCTGCTATATCCATTGAATTAATGCAGTTTATGGATAATTTGACGGTTTTTCACGTGTTGTTCCTATTTTACACTCATATCTCTTTACTTCCCCCAAAATAAATTACACAGATGTGTGTAGAAGATTTTGCTGGACATCTGGAACAACAAAGAAGTTTTATATCTCTATGTTCGTATCTCTGGATTAGTCAGCCCTTCTCCTATAAATTCTCTTTGCCTCAACCCACACACAGCTTCTTAAGTCAAAGCTTGCTGAAGAATTCACCCTGGTCTCCAAAATTCTGAAAGTCTTATCTCGACTGAGCCACACTTTTATGTAACTTAGTTCAGCTTTTTAAATTCATTCAATGTAGGTGTATTGACCATTTTTGCCCTCCATCTGAGGAATTTATATTCTAATAGGGGAAATTAATAATTTATGTTACTATTTGAGGCCAGAAAATTCTTCGTTGTAGGGTGCTGTCCAGTGCATTATGGGATGTTGAGCAGCATCCCTGGCCTCTACCCACTAGATGCCAGTAACACCAGTCCCACCCCCTTAAGTTTTGGACAGCCAAAATATCTCTAGACATTGCCAAATATCCCCTGGGGGACAAGATCACCTCAGTTGAGAGCCATTGCTCTAATATGTAGTAGACTTGATAAGACCTCTGATAAAATAATGTGCTAAGAAATGTTCAGAGGGGAGTGGTGTTATTTCTTGGCAGTGAAATCTTTGAAAGCCTCATGGCAGGTGGCATCTGAGCCAAGACTTCAAGAATAGGAGTTTGAGTTGAGTTTTCTAGAGGAGAAAAAAACATGGGGTACATGTGGGCAAATAAGAGTGGCTCTATTTGACTAACATATAAAGTGAAATAGGCACGTTGGTAGAGTGGAGCTGATAGGTACTGGGAGGCTAGATACCATGGGGACTTATAAGCTGTGGGACTTCTGCTTTTACCCTGAGTGAAATGACAAATATATCAGAGCTGTGTTCTTTTGGAGGGGGTTCATTTGGATATAGGGCTTGCTTTCATAACCCAAAGTGATTGCTGCAAAGACTTATCCCTCCAGAGGTCATTTCTCTGACACCCAGGAAGGAAACAGAAAGGGCCTCTGAGGGGCACAGTGCGTTGCTAAATAAATTCATGCCTAGATCTTGGTGTCCCTTACCTTTCAGTAAATCCCACTCTGAACTCCTTATTTTAGGTCTAGGTCTAATGGACTTGTTTAGCTGGTTGCCAAGAGCAGATTAAAAGATGTAAAAAGACAGCTAGGCACGGTGGCTCAGTAATCTCAGCCCTTTGGGATCCTGCAGCAGGAGGATCACTTGAGCCTAGGGTTTTGAGACCCAACTGGGCAACATAGTTAAACCTCACTCTGTAAAATAAATTTAAAATTAGCTGGGCACGGTGATGTGTGTCTGTAGTCCCAGCTCCTTGGGAAGCTAAGGTGGAAGGATTGCTTGAGCCCAGGAGGTACAGGCTGCAGTGAGCTATGACCATACCACTACACTCCAGCCTGGGTGACAGAGTGAGACACTATCTCAAAAAAAAAAAAAAAAAAAGATGGAAAAGGAGGAAGGCGAGGGAGGGGACTTGCATAGGCAGACACAGATTCAGCAGCAAAGCTTCTAGCATGGCAGAGGGGAAAGAGACCAAAAGGAAAAATGAATGAATGAGTTATTAAATGAATGAACAAACAGATTCAGACCAAATAATTCAAGGGCACAGCAATCTAGAGTCTTAGCAAGAGAACATTTGTCCCTTCATTATTCCTGAAGACATTGCTGCATATCAGTGCCATCCTACTGTGCCAACATATGCAATGGTTAACAAGATGGGGGATGTGGGGAACACTTTAGAACCCATGTGGTGAGAGTTTAGCACAATGGTTAGGAACAGGGTCTAGCGTCAGACCTCCTGGCTTGAATCCTTGCTTCAGGGTTCTGCAGCACTAAAGCCTGCTTTACCAGGTTACTTTACCTTGCCAAGCCCTACTGATCTCATTGGTAAAATGGGGATTCCCTACTCACAGGGTCATTGGGAAGTTTGGATAAAATAACCCACATGAATTCTTCGCTAAGTTCCTGGCACAGATTAAGTGCTCAGTAAACACTGGTGGTTACTATTATCATTTCACTAAAAGAATATGGCTGTTGAGACTTTCCCCAAATCATAGCTGCAGCTGCTGTTCTGGAATATTTCCAGAGTCTCCTGGCAGTACTGAAATTTCCCTTTTACAAAATACATAGGATGGCTGTGAAAATTGAGGAAAGTTCCAGAAGGCAGGGGCAGTTGCATTCTGTCTTCTTTATTTCCCCTCTTTTTGGCAATAGAATTCAGGCCACAGAGGGAGAGGACAGCAGGCTCCAAAGGGTACTGGGGCCACCAGCTATTTCTTGGCAACATACTTCCTTTGAGCAAGGATGGCCCTTTCCTTTTTTTTTTTTTTCTTGAGACAGAGTTTTGCTCTTATTGCCCAGGCTGGAGTGCAATGGCATGATCTCAGCTCACCATAACCTCCACCTCCCGGGCTCAAGCAATTCTACTGCCTCAGCCTCCCAAATAGCTGGGGCTATAGGCATGTGCCACCATGGCCAGCTAATTTTTTGTATTTTTAATCGAGATAGGGTTTCTCCATGTTGGTCAGGCTGGTCTCGAACTCCCAACCTCAGGTGATCCGCCCACCTTGGCCTCCCAAAATGCTGGAATTACAGGCATGAGCCACCACATTTTGGCCAACCTGAGAGAGCAGTTATTCTGAGATGGCTAGGAGAATATGAAGCTATTTTCCTTCTGATGTTATGTCCTCTGCTCTGTGAATATAATCTCCCTCCAAATAAGAAAAGTGTGCGTGCGTCGGGTTGGCAGGGAGACATTGAAGCTTACTGCATAGTAGTGGCTGTGAACCAGTGAAGGTAGTGCTGTGTTGATTTCCCTTGACCAATGTCTGCCCAGTGGCAGAGCTGGAAACACAGGATGCTGTGTAATGTAAAACCTTGGCCTGGCTCCTCGGCGTAATGTAAAACGGAGGCTGCCAGGAAGGTACAAATTGTCCAACAGGAAGGAGCTGCTCTCTTGCCGGTGGATGGCAGGACAATAAAGTAACTTATCCTTTGTTTGTGTGTTTTCCAGGCTGGAGCAAGAAATACAAACGCTAGAAAGTGAAGAGTCCCAGATATCTGCCAAAGAGCAAATCATCCTAGAGAAACTGAAGGAGACAGAAAAATCCTTCAAGGACTTTCAGAAGGTGAAGAAAACAAACATGATTTCTCTAAGTTATTTCTGTGGAGAAGTAAGGCCTAGCAAAATGGTACCAGCTGGGAAACAGGCCAGTTGGCGTTGATGAGAAATCCGAGCCACGAACTCTTTGAAATGAGGGGCAGATGTGTGAGGACTAGGGGCCATCCTGAAGCTGAGCATGGCATGCCTTTGGGTGTGGGACCATCTGGCCTGCTGCAAGGCATAGGGAAGGGTCATTAGATTACCTCACCCACCTGCTGTCCGGATCTCCGATATGCCTCACGCCTGAAAAGCCTTCTCTTGTTGGACTCTAGAATTCTAAAACCAATTCTGATTAAGCAGAATAAACATGCTTTGTGACTTTAATTATAGTTTGCTTTTTGAGTCTTTTCATTATAAGAAGGCCAGAAACAACACCCTATGAAATGGACATGAATTCCAAATACAAAGAGTGTAAATACGTGAAATTTTACTGTATATAAAAACAGATGATGCTGTGTTTCAAAGACTATAGTCCGTAAAACCAGTAGACTCTGAACAAACATCTCAGGACCTCCCTCCATTTTTTTTTTTTGAGATGGAGTTTTGCTCTTGTTGTCCAGGCTGGAGTGCAGTGGCGAGATCTCAGCTCACTGCAACCTCTGCCTCCCAGGTTCAAAACAATTTTTCTGCCTCAGCCTCCCAAGTAGCTGGGGTGACAGATGCCCGCCACCATGCCTGGCTAATTTTTTTTGTATTTTTGGTAGAGACAGGGTTTTACCATATTGGCCAGGCTGGTCTCGAACTCCTGACCTCAGGTGATCCACCTGCCTTGGCCTCCCAAAGTGCTGGGATTACAGGAGTGAGCCACCGTTCCCGGCCCTCCCTCCATTTTATAAATCTTTCTGCAATACCTATAAGTGACAGAAAAGCAATCTAATGAAATCAGTTTAGGATGGGATTTTCTGATTTCATTCTCCAACATGACCAAGGATTTTGCTAGATAATTGAAATAAGTCTCTATTGGGAAAAATTTGGTATAAATTGGGAATGGTGATTTTGGAATTCTAAACAAATTGTCCAGAAGAAAAGAGATCATTGCATTTTTCCAGCACAGTCAAATTCTGGGCCTGGGCATGGGAGAAAGACGGGTTAAGTCTTTAAAGATGGGAAAAGATGGGATTATACGCCCACAGGAAGAGTAACGCTCTGCCTTGTTGTGTTTTTTCCCACAGGGTTTCTCCAGTACAGATGGAGGTAAGTGCTCTCTGCCCCGACTTTAGATGAGTGTTTTTATCCTGGTCAGTTCAGGGGGTTTCATTAACAGGGTCTTAAGGAAGAGGTGCTGTGTTGATTTGTAAAGCATCAGAAGAAATAGCAGCGCTGGTTGCAGGCCACTGAGGAGGTCCCAATTCCATGCCTTCCTTGCCTCTCTTCTTCAGGAACTGTCTCTTGCCTCACTGTTTCTCATCTTACAAAATTGGCCTGGCTCTTCTACTTCCTTTTAGGCCCCAAAGGCTCACTGCTTGGACCTCTCTTGAAAAGTACCCAGCAAAGAAGAGTATTAACATCAGGACCAGGTACCTTGTAGGAAAGAGCCCATTTGTCCTGGTGGTTAGATCTTCAGGCTGAAACACACGTGGTAGTTTAGGAAATTTGGGGGAAATATCTGGTGTTTAGAAAATATTTCTACAGCTTCTGAATTTTCTTTGCTTTCTCTCTTTCTTTCTCTTGGATCAGAGAACTGTAGTTTCTTCTGTAGAATCAGGGCTGGGCAAAACTTTCCTCCCTGTGCGGGATAGTTGGTTCAAAGCATACAAAGGTGGGAGCAGGGTCCTGGCTTCCTGGTGGTAAGAACAGGTCTTTTACCTTCTCTCCCTTCCCTACCATTCCTCTTTCCTCTCCTCTCCTTACCTGGACGGTGGGGATGAATTTGAGATTGTATACTTCTCACCCTTCACCTTGCTCCCTAACCTCAGCTGCAAACCCATGATTCCTACTTTCATTTGTCCCTCAGCTAGACTTGCTTTAAAATAAAGAGACTTAGTGGAAGGACCAGATATCGCCTGCTCACCTGGCTCCTAGAATGTCACACTCTAGGGCTGGGTCTGGTGGCTCAGGCATGTAATCCCAGCACTTCGGGAGGCTGATGTGGGAGGATCCTTTGAGCCCAGAAGTTCACGGCTGTAGTGAGCTATGGTCACGCCAGTGCACTCCACCTGGGTGACAGCGAGTTCTTGTATCAAAAACAAACAAGGTCATCCTCTACACTAGGAAGAGATCAGGCGCCAGAATAAGAGTTGGCTTCGGTGTTTTCCCAGTGCCATATGGAAACATACAGGGAAAAGTTTTAAAATGTGTTTTTCTGGATTAGTCAAAGGTATTTGCACGAAGGATAGTTCTGACTTTGCCCCCACAAAACAAAAAAAAAAAAAAAAAGGACTGTGATCTTTCCCCCCTAGCAAGTAAAAGGCAGGAGACCTGGATTTTGTCTCCCCACTTGGTCTTTAGGAAGGTACTATATTAAACTTCATGTTCTGAGTGCATGTAGGCAAGGCCAAGCCAGGTCCAAGCCAACAAGGACTCCAGGAAAAGCGGGACCTACAATAGTTCTAGGAACACTCTATGGTGTGGCCAAGTTAGGGTACTTGTTCTGTGCTTTGCAGGTGGGGCACGGATTGAGAAAGTGGTGTTGGGGAATTGTGGGTACAGCATGGGGAAGATGGCAGGCTTTGCTGAGTCTGGGAAGACATGAGACGTGACACACAATTAGCAATAATACAGAGCATGTCAGGCTGGGATGCAGTGTGGAACACTGACCCATAGTCATGTACCCACAGAGCGTGTGTTGCCCTTTTATGCTTTCACTTCTTTTTTCCCTTCCTTCTCAAATCAGAAGTTTCCCTAGACATCCCTCTGATAACTAGGGAAGGGAGCAAGCCTGTATGTCATGTTCCTGAGAAGTCTGTGTGGGGCATGGAGATCTGTCATACTCTATGACTCGTTAACAAGCAAAAATGCAGCCGCGTCACAAACTGTCACCACCTCTTTCATTTTTACCTCAAACTTCTTTCATTTTCTTCTGCATTGCTTCCCATTATTTTCATCCATCCACCTAAGCCGTTCATAGAGGTGGTAAAAAACCTAATCATAACTGAAAAGAGCCTGCAGGGAAAGTTACCCTCGCACTCTGTCCTCCAGGATGGGTGAGATCAGGCTTATGAGGATGCAAAAGTCTTAGAATCCCACTTCTTGGGAAATGGGCCAGGGAGGAATTTCCGTGGTCTTACCTATCACCCTGGATTATAGTTCCTGCCATCTGTGGTTATCACCAAGCCTGGGTGACTTCTTTATCTATCACACCACATCTATTAGCAAAGAAGTTTGAAGGAGGGAACATGTGCATCCCAGAATGTGATTGATGTGTAAGCCACACTGTGGTGAAGCACATCCCAGTTGAGGGACTTTGGGATGTCTCTTTATATTCTCATTCTCCAATTTCAAAGGACCCAGCTTGCCAAGACGCTCTTAGAATCAACCAACTTGCTACACAATACTAACAAATTATTATTATAGAACAATGATGCCTTAAGAAACACAGTTAATTTCTGATGCATGTAGACTGCAGAATCCAGGTCCAGTTAGGATTATATAACCATACGGACACTGCAGATAAGCAGCAAAAGCATCCCAACTTACGATGTGCCATGAGATAGCTGCTCGTGTCTGTGTGTGTAATGACTCCATCTCAGGTACCCTAAGTGTGTCTCCCTATGCATGGCAGAGGAAATAGAGGTACAGTACTCCTGGATCACCAATAGCTTTTGACTACATGATAGCCTGGGCAGTGAAGAGCAACTTATTCAACTCTTGAGTAGAATCTCATGGTCGTATACATTCTGATACTCCCTCAACTCCCCGCCAACACACACTGTTGTTACATAGCAGAACCCTCATCTATTGGATGGGTTGTTTTCACTGTCTTAGGCATAATGTCTTGTACATCTATAAATTGCATATAGTATATCTCTGGTGCTAATTCTGTTCTTTACCCACTGGGGAGGGTGCTGATGTAAAACTCTTGGCCAGAACAGGCAAAGGAAAATGTCTGCCCTGGGCCTATCTCAGTTCTTGCTGTAAGATAACTAATCTTCTTAGGCTCCCATCCCATACCAGTCTGTGGCGGCTTAAAACCATTCCCACATCAAAATCTTCATATCAATTATTGACAAACCTCGATCTTCAGTTGCCTATAAGTTATGTGTTGTTTGTTTGTTTATTTATTTATTTATTTACTGAGATGGAGTTTCGCTCTTGTTACCCGGGCTGGAGTGCAATGGCGCAATCTCAGCTCACTGCAACCTCCATCTCCTAGGTTCAAGTGATTCTCCTGCCTCAGCCTTCTGAGTAGCTGGGATTATAGGCGTGAGCCACAGCGTCCAGCCTAAGTTATGTTTTAAGAAGTGTTTTCATCAGTCTCATTTCTCTGGCTTTAGCTGTTAAGATTCTCCCTAGCTACTGTAAACATTTCATCTGGGTTAGAATTAAGCAGCACTCATCTTCAATTTCTACGCTATAAGTGACTGTTTTCCACCTTCTCTGGCAGTGGGGAGAACAGTGATAGACCATTCTGACTTCGGCAGGAAGTGGGCAGCTTATTGATTGAGGCCACCTGAAGAAGTTTTTCCCATTAAGGTTTGGCAGGCCTGTTTGTTACCCTTTGTGCTGGTCTATCAAACCACTCACATCTGTCTATATAACCTTAGGGTTTAGTACTTAATATATAGTGAAGGGGCTGCTCTGTCCTCTTTCTGATGCCCCATTCCCCACTCTTCTCTCTCTCTCTCTCTTTTCTTGAGTCAGGACCTTGCTCTGTCACCCAGGCTGGAGAGCAGTGGCATGATCTTGGCTCACTGCAACCTGCCCCCCCACCCCGGGTTCAAGCAATTCTCCTGCCTCAGCCTCCTAAATAGCTGGGACCACCACCACTCACCACCAGGTTCAACTACTTTTTGCATTTTAGTAGAGACGGGGTTTCGCCATGTTGGCTGGGCTGTGATCTGCTTCCCTCGGCCTCCCAAAGTGCTGGGATTACAAGTGTGAGCTACTATGCCTAGCCCATTCCCTTATCTCTTAACAGAAGCCATGTATCCCAACTCTCCAAGAGCCGTAGCCTTCAAACTTGTAGCCAGTAAACATCTGGCAAAGGTAACTTCATCATCCACTCACATCTGGCAGGGAACTGTCTTCTGGAGGAGGCTGAGATATGAGCCCTGGGAATCACATGTTCTTTCAGATAGAGAATTCTCTGTCTGTGAGTAGGCTTTTTTTTTTTTTTTTCTGCTAAGATGTTCAATATGCAGACACACATGTGACTGTGAGAAAAACGTTTGGTATGCATACACGCATGCAACCAGTCCATGAGATCTCACTTGGGCTCCAGCTTCCATCTGATTTAAATGTAGAAAGTCAAATTCACCAAGATCCCAATTCCACAGACTTCTGAAAATTATCAGTGAATCTTGGAAGTTCTGGAAATCCCTTCTCTCTTAAACTGTACCTCTAGTCCTAGATTGCTGCTTAATTCTTCCCATAGACCATTGACACTCACCTGCCTCTACCCTCTCAGGACCACTGACCTCAAGCTGCTGCTCTTTCTAGTTCTGCCTTGTGCTGGTTTGGGGCACAGACCCTTCCCACAGCCTTCCACAGTAGGAGTTAAAGGAAAGAAAAGTCTGCAACCTAAGTTTAAGAATCATGGAGGTGCAGTTCAACATGGAGAATAATGTGCAACTTCAGACATGTGGCTACACTCACAGTCCCTGGCTCAAATCCAAAACCGTCTTCAGGGTCTCTGCAGGCTGCTTTTCAGCCAGCTCCCAGCCCACCACCATCTCAAAGGCTCAGTTTCCTTCCTTGCAGTGAGAGGGGCCTTCAACCACATCTGCTTATCCAGGATCCAAGCTCCAACACATGTAAGGCACCCAAGAGGGAAGGCAACCTGAGCCTCACTCCACCCTAAGTCCTGCGGTCCTAATCTTTCTGTCTCATTCCTTCTCTCCAAATGTTTGATATGGAAAAATCCATTTTCTTAGAGATACTCTACCTTTTTGCCTATGAACATAATGGTCTGATGTCAATACATTCTGGATTGTTCAGACTCACTTGCAAGTCAGCAAAGGGTCTGGTTGGTCTAAAACTGAACTAAGCAACAAATGAAAAAGAAAGCTGCTAGAACTTAAGCAGTGTGAGTGGGGTTGCAGAGGAGGGGACAGTGATGAGAAATGTGGAGGAGGCAGAGGCTATGGAACGGATTGGATACCAGGAGGAAGAAGAGTGAAAGGTGCCACTGATGATCCCAGGTGAACTGTGGTGCTTGTGAGCCAAGATAGAGGATAGGAGAAGCAGTAGGTGAGCAGAGATACAAGGTCCATTTTGTGCATGTTGAATTTGAGATGATTGTGGGATATTCAGTAGAGACATGCTGTAAGCAGTTAGATGTACTCATTGATGACTGATGGACGTTCCAGGATTCTGTGATATGGTTGTGATGCAAAGAAGGAATCACATCTCACGGAGCCCAGCTTTCTGGAATCTTTCTGCTTTCGCTTTCCCATTTCTCTCTGGAGTGCACCCAAATTCATCTTGTCTCACCTTAGGGGTTTCCTCCTTTCCTCTGATACCTTGGCATGCCTGCTAATGTTCATACCCTCCAGGTCTCACCTCCTTAAAGAGGCTTGTCAAGGTATTTGCCCAAACAGAGGTGATGGGCTCCTTCTTTTGCAAAGCAGCATTTCCTGCAACTGGGCTAATGGTGGGCTCACTAGGTGTTGTCATTTAGAATCTCAGGACTTTCTGGCTGAAACGCCAGCCTGCAGTATCAGAAACATATCAATTTTGAAGTCTTTTTATTTGTCATAATGCATATAAAATTGGTCTTTTGAATGAATCAGGCTCATTAAGCAGTATTGCCACTTCAGGGAATGAACCCCATAATAATCAGGCACAGAAAGTTTTATTTCCATTTCAGGGAATGGGTCTGTTTTTCAGTTAAATGTACATTTCTAGTTTGATGTTTTCTATTTGGTCCATCCCACCAAGTTGATAATGGCTCCCACAAACCCATTTCTGGATCTCCCCCTACCCCGCCCCCAAACTCATTGTCCTCCTAGAATCTAGAGATTTCTGATGACTCTTCTAATACGTAGAGCCAACCTGGGGCTTGAGCTCTCTGGCCAGGATCCCTCCTGCCTCAGCTACTCTGCTGAATACCAGTCACTGGGCAAATGCTCGTCTTTGTTTACCCTGATCCTCCTGTTCAGTGGCCACCTCTGCGGTCCGTTATGTAGGGCAGACAAGCTGCTGTCTCGGCAGTGAACCCATTGGGCCTCTGAACACTGTGACTAATTGTATTCCCTGTTCTCTGCTACCAGATGCAGTAAATTACATTTCCTCCCAGCTTCCCGACCTGCCAATCCTCTGTTCACGAACAGCAGAACCAACACCTGGGCAGGACGGGACCAGCAGAGCGGCTGGTAAGTCCTGGGGAGCCCTTTGGTTTGGACGCTAGGCTTGTCCAAGGGGCTTGCATTTCACTGAGCTTTATTAATGAGATGGGTGCCCTGCTATCCTTACATGGGGGACCTCGCCTTCAGCCCAGCCTCAGATGCAGCCTTCACAGTGGCCACACAAGACAGGGACCGGCCCCAGATGGGTAATTGGGGACCAGATGGAAAAGAGTTTTGAGGAAATCAAACAGCATTTCACCTCCAGCTTCGGGGGAGTCTTTCTTTGGTGTTCGTGGTCCTTTTATCTGTGTTTATTATCAAAGTTAATCTGTATTCTGCCTCTAGGGATTTTTGTTTTCTGTGTTGGAATGATACAAATTGAGAGAGCCATCCATGATGGAAGCTGAGTGGGAAATATTTTCAAAGCATATGGGTGTCTTTACAGAATCCTTTGGGAATTGAGCTATTTGTGTATTATAAACACATATATTCCTAAGTCTTCCCATTTCTGGGGTTATTTCTTAGCCACTGAAATATATTGGGGAGGAAAAGAAGCAATTTAAGAAACACATGTTTCTTGCTAATATTTCTCACAATTGGAGATTTTACAAAATAATACATTTGTGATTATCGAGTACAGGGAAAACCATGCTTTATTCTGCCTAATGCAAACATGCCTCAGAAATGAGAACTGGAAGGATGCAAACAATATGATCTACCCTACGGTCTACCCAGAAACATGCTGAGGGCTGGCGGTTAAATGGAAAATTGAATTGCCCAAGGTTGCGTGGTTAGTTACCACATGAGTGAATTCAAATATGAGTGTCAGATTCTGCTTTGCATACTCTAGGTAAGTGTATGTTTAAATTAAATCACATAGAACAGATTTTAGAAAATAAAACAATCATGGATGTTTAAGCCACAGGAAATCTTTTACATAGGCCAACCTGAATATTTTATGAAGCAAAGAATCCTTCCTTATTTTAGTACAAAAGTAAAATAAAAAGGCAAGTAAGTATTAACAAAGTTGTCATGTCCACTAGCTAATTTAAATATCCTCTGGGCATCTCTGTAAAAATCTTAGTATATTACTTTTATGTACAAACTCACAGAGTTCTAGAGATGGATGGAACCGTAAGTGGTATCTGGTCAGTCCGGGGCCAGTTCTACATCTTCCTGGGCAGTGACAGGATGGATCAGCTGGAGCCTGCACCCTGCAGTTATGCTTCAAAGGAATCACTGGCAGTCACTTTCACACTGGACTCTTTAAGTACTCTGGGGTGCCCTTCCGAGGTCAATGTAGGTAAAATGTGTTTAAGAGTCACACACCTTCCTGCTGGTTCTTAGAGACTTGGGTGTTGATGTTCCTGATAGTTGTGGGAAAACAGCTTCTCAGGTCCTCTGCACAAGTTCCTGTACTTCAAAGGACATGGGATATGATCCAGCATATGGATCAGCTCATGGGAGGGTAGGACAATGTATGAGAAATAATTTTGAGAGAGAATGGGTAGTCTCTCAAAGAGTATAAAGTTCAAGAGTAACACATGAATGTGATTGTAGTGCTATGTAAGTAGGAATACACATTATTACCACAACCCAGCTCGCTTTATTTTTGAAGATCCTGCAAAACATGATGATTTAAAAAGCCAATAAATTTTTTTAAGTATAGCATGATCAGAATCTTTTTAAAAGTAAGTTTACATGTGTTTCTGTTGATTAGTTAAGAGTTAATTTGCATAAATGCATCTACTGTGGGACTACATATAAGCAGAGCTGTGGAAGGAATTGTATTTGTTACGAGGAACTCCTTTGTCCAGGCCATTTGGGGAATGGGATGCTCAGATTCACAATCAATTGTGGTTAACAGTGACTACATAGAGCATGTGTGGCTTACCAACCAAGAGTACTCGCTAGAATTCTCCTAGATACGGTCCATCTTGCTTTAGGAATGTCCTTTTGGAAATTTGTATAACCTCAGGGCCATTCTGACAAATATCACTTGTCATTACTAAGTAGTATGACAAATATCCTGGTTGTTTGGAGTTTGGAAGATTTGGGACTCTGTATAAATGAGAATTTATTTAGAATCATTGCTTTTCAGAATTAGGAGACATCTATTCCAATCCTTTATCCAAATATTGAATCCTTGACATAGCAGCCCTGTGAAAAGGTCCTCAAACCCCAGCCACACACCTCTGTGATCCAAGTTTAATCTCCCTTCGAGTTGCCCATTCCATTCCTAGTTGGTTCTGACTGTTGGGAAATTCTTCCTTTGATGGAGCTATCATTTGTCTGCCTTCATCTTCCATCTGCTTATCCTTATCCTGCCCCCTGGAGCTACTCAGAACACATCCAGTGATTTTCAAGTATTAGAAAATGTCTATTATTTCCTGTTTTTCCCAGATCCTCACTCTAAATCCCCTTCATGCTCACAGCCCTGCTCTCTCCAGCTGGCACTGAGATGATGAGATTGCCTTTAGACACCCTCCACCATCCCTGTCCCTCCCTTCTGAACACTCTTCACTTGGTTGCTAGTCTTCTTGATGTGTTGAGCTCAGAGCTTCCCGATGCCTTCTGGGCTAGGCTGTTCACCCCCAAAATAGAGCATGATGCCACAGACCACGTGGCTGACTTTGCTGGCAGCAAGGTCTTTCAGCTTCAGTTTCGAAAGGCCTCAAAGTCATTTCATGTGTACAACTGATCAACCTTGCTCCCTTCGTCCATAGAATTGTTGTTTCTGAATCATTTCAGTTGAAATGTGCAGTCTGTTTCCCCTAGTTATCCGTATACTACTTCACCTGCTCATTCATAGAAGAACCTACATAATTCTTTTGTTTTTTAATCTCAAAAGACAAAAATAAACATAAGCTATGTACTTTTCTGTCCTTTGTAGATTTGCTATGATTATTAAGTTTCTTCCTGTTAGATTGTCTCTCAAGAATGTTGGGCGTTTCATGGAGGCACTGAGGAACCACAGCAGGAAGGTGGGGAGGGGAGCGATGTCATGAGATTTGACAGGGCTCTGACATTCCCTCCCATTTCAAACACGCGCAGTCTCTCCATCCTTGTGTTTACATGTTGTGTTTCCGCATCAGATTTCACTTGAATCAAGGGCTTCACACGTTTTGAAAGTAGAAAACCCTCTTCTCCATTGTTAGGGTCATTGTAGCTCACAATCACGGTATCCTCCTGGCCTCACTTTGCTTCTCAGTTTAGTACTCCCTCAAATCTGAAAAGCAGTCTTTGATTATTTTATCATTTCACTGCTAAAACTGTTGCGTGTTGGAACCAAAGTCAGAGCCCTGTGGCACACCATTAGAGATCTCTTGGCCCTTGGTAACCCTAAATCGACACCTTTAGGGCATCATCATTCAATCACTAACAAGATAATTGTCTTAATACCCAAGGTACACATTTCTATGTTATCCACAGGAATATGAGAGATTTTGTGATGATCCAAATACACTGGGTCTTTTCAAATGCAATTTGCTATTCTTTCTAGAGACCTTGAACAAAAAAGAAAATGAGATTAATCTGCACAGTTTCTGCTTGATGAACTCATGCTGGCTCTTGGTCATCTCTGCTATTTGGAGGTTAACTTTAGAATTTAGCTAGCCAGCTATAATGTCAAGCTGCTTCTCTGTAGTTTAGAATCCCCTCATTCTCATTTTTGAAAATCAGACCTTTGCATGTCAGCCTCCAGAGACTTTCCTGGTGTTCAAGATTCTTGAGACAAATTCAACAAGGGAACCAGGACCCTGATCCCAAAGTACTGAGAGCATTTATATCCCTAGTGCTTTATCATTTTCTAATCTTCTCTGCTTGTCTGGGCTTCACTTCCCTTTCTGCCACTTTCTTTCTGGCACTTTACAGTCTGAAAACTCTCCTTCTTGACCAAAAAGATGGAAGCAAAATCAGACACAAGAAATTGGCTTGCCTTTATTATCCATCAGCATTATACCTTTGCTGACTTATTTTTGTTAATACTTTTGTGTCTTAGAAAAACAATTGATTCAAAGACATTTTTGAACCCTTCTTTGGGGGGGAGTTACAATTTTTTATTGATACATAATAATTGTACATATTTATGGCATTCATGTGGTATTTTGATGCATTCATACAATGTGTAATGATCAAAAAAGGGTAATTAGGATGTCCATCATCTGAAATGTTTATCATTTCTTTGTGTCGGGAACATTCAAAAATCTTCTAGCTATTTTGAAATAGACAATAAATTATTGTTGGCTTTAGTCACTCTACTCTGCTATTGAACATTAGAACTTATTCTTTCTATCTAACTATATTTTTGAAGTTAGAGATTGCACTCTGGGATGAAAGGGAGACCCCATTCTGAATTAATTCCCTCATTTTTATTGTCATTGACATCACAGTAGCCATTTTCATATTTCTAACCCAAAGAGAATATATGAACACATAGGTATAGTATAATCACTTGCTTGAAGGGATGAGACTACCCGTATGTATGTTCATTCAACAAGTCAAGCATGTGCATTGCTTAACTATCACATGCCAGGTACAATGCCAGCTACTGGATGTTTTTTTGTGCTGAGATGACCCTGACCCCCAATGGATGACACTTATGATCTGTCTACTTCCCTACTACTGTACTTTACACATCACTAACTCATGAACCACACAGGCTGTTCACAGCACCATAAAATATCAAAGCTGGATACCTTACATTGTACAAATGGGAAAATGAAGCCCCAAAATGGAGTGTCATCTGGATAGGAATTCAGATCCTATCTTTCTCCCTCTCCTATCTCCTTGACTAATGACAGTGGAGCATGTGGTGCTTATACTTTAGATGTGGGTTCTCAGCCTGTGCCTCCTCTTGGAACCACAGTGAGTCAAAGGAACTAAACTAGGAGAAGGCTGAATCAATGATTGAATTTTCCATCCTTCTGGAATAGTCTTGTTTTGTATGCTCTTGGACTGATTCTCAAATATATTCATGCCCATTTCTCTTCCCCCTTGCTTGTGTCATTTGCTCTTATTCCCCCTTC